ACTCTTACAGTTGGCACACAGTGTGGATGTTTCAGAGCTGTTGCACAAAACGTTTTCTGCATTAAAGGTGGGTCCTTAAGCCACACTGCATGTACACTGAGCGACTCGCTGGTCTTTTAATTAACATTCTACTAGTCCAGATTGTCCAAAAGCAGAGCTGTCACTGATGCGAAAGCTATTGTAAGAGGAGGAATACGTGACAGAACAAGCCGCCCTCTTTCAAGTTTACAGTGTTATAAGACTCCAGATGTTCGTGTCGGTGGGTACCTCCCAACGTTATACAAGATTTTATTACAAAAAAGTTCTTTAAAAGCTTTTTGCATGAAACAGACTGGATTTTTTTTTTGTTTGCCCTCGTTTCTCAAGCCCTCAGGTAAGATTAAAAGGTGAGGCACAAAAGAGCATTCATGATGTTGCACTTTGAGAAATAGCATGCAATCTGTTACAAGGCCAGCTGATGAAAATGACTCACCATAGACCAACATTTACTTGCCAATTGATTCTGGATTTTTTTTTTCAGCATACATGTAAAAAGTAAATGAGATAAATATAAATATGAGCCCTAATTTCAAGTCACAGAGATGCCTGTCCAGCTGTTTCCTCAGGTTACACTGAGGAAAGATGGCAGGTAAAATCAGTAGACTGACAACTTTGCTTAGACAAAGATCATTTCCACTGACGCAGTGTGAGATGTTACTGACGTTGGGACTTGTTTAACTTGGAGTGTGACAAGAGACACTCCTAAAAACAAACCATATCTTAAACCCAAATCGAGATGTGGTTCTTTGAAATGGAAAAAAAGGTGCTGCGCTTTAAGAAATGCATCCAGCGTGATCATAGTCTAATACAGCAACAGCGATACTGTCCTATTGAAAGGAGCTATTCAAAATGCTTTCTGTAGTCTCCATGATAATGAATGTTTTATAACTGAGAAAAATAACGAAGACAGTACCTTAACTCTCTGGAGTCAGGCGCTCATCCCCTGTTAAAACTCTAGAAATCAGCTGATAGAGAAATATCGAAACTCCTTCTTTTTCTTCCTCTTCTGCTCGCTCTGCGACGCCTCCAACGTCAGGGTTCAGGAACGGATGATTGCGTGTCCATTTGCTTCCCCTTCAAGCCATTTGAACACTTTCAGGTGCACAGAAGTACAGACTAGTTCAGGTTAAAAACAATCAAGTATCTAAAGTGTAAATCTATCAGAGTAGTTCCAAACTGGCGTATCTCCTCGATTCTTTTTCAGCAGGGTATGGGTGGCATTAAATAAATGTTCTCATTGCAGGGTGTTTGTCATAATATCTGGAAAAAACTGACACACACCAGGCTACCCTGCCAGTGGGTGCACAAATGATTACACTTTGCCAGAACTCCAAACATACATCTTGACATTAATTGAAAACATGGTTAGGTCTTATCTTCATTTGGCTACTTTGAACCGTGTTTACCTTTGAGTCAGATACCCCGAAAAAAAAAGGACTGGGATTTAGGAGCTTCATGCTTTGGGTCGACTGGCCCCGGTCGTCTCCACGTGGACCATGACAGTGTTCTGAGATTTCCCAGAGTTTGGCCAGCTGTTAGCATTCTGCGCTAATGGACTGCTGGCTTTGGTTTGTGTGGACAGTCTAAATCTCTGTCCCTGGCGTCAGCACCGGCAGATTATTAGTTATCACAGTCTAAACCTACGCAGGCATATTTTTATATTTTGCTAAGATGTGAAGTGAGGGCGACGGAGAAAGAGACGGCATGCGTCTGACAGACTGTGATCTAATCCCAAGTTAAACAATGCTGCAGGTGGGGTAATAAATCATACACAGAGCTGTTTGGAAAGAGGCACAAAGCTGGAACAAGATGTGTACATGCTGTTCTTCAGTTTGCATGTAAGGCAGGTGTAGAAAAGAAATCCAACCCAGGGATGTCAAACTTACTTCACATCATTGGCCACGTACAGCTCACTTTGATGTGAAGTGGGTTGAACCACTTAAACTACATGGTAAACATGTAAAGTTATAGAAAAGGTTTTAGTACTTAATTGCTGTATAAGGTTTTCATGAATTAATTTCCTTGTACTTTGGTGTTGTATGGATGGCAATGCGGGGTCTTAAGCAATAGGAAAAGCTGTAAAACTTAAAATATAGTTAAAAAGTTCAAAATCCATGCACTCCACATTTTCTAAGCTGTCCAGTATTGGAGTCTTTGCCAGGTTGATTTATTTGACGTTATGTTTGACACCCCTAGTCTAACCAAACAGGGTTAAACTAAAGTACTGGTCCTCAAACTCTACTCAAAAATGCTGTCTCTCACTAACAATAAAAATAATCCAAATACTTCCAATTTAAAAATGCTGTTAATAGCATGACCTTGCCCACAGGCTCACAGCTGAAGAAACAAAGCACTACAGAATGTGATCGGTCATGACTTCGCCTTTGTCCTGCAGACAAAGCCGAAGAAAATTCTCGCTTTATATGAATATGAATAGCCTTTATTGTCATTGTACAAGGTACAATGAAATTGGAGTGCCACTCCCTTGGTGCAAAATGCAATGATAAATATAAATATAAAATATAAAAAGTACAATAAAACAATGATATATACAGAATAGCAACATTCATATAATGATAGTATGAATAGCAGCATAATATAGTGACAGTGGCAAGTATGGTATAGTTAAGTTATATAAGTTATATCTTTCTCCACTCAAACACATTTAGTTAACTTTGGAGGTTTGAGCTCCAGTTTGCAGGATAATCTACGTGCATCTTCTTCTGTGTGCTCCACCTGAATCTCAGTTTAACACATGTACACATAGCAAGGAGAGTTTAGAAAACAGGGTGCAGTATGAAACGTACAAATCCAAGATGTAAACTAGAAACTCTTAGTGAAGCTGGAGACCTCTGTCACACTATAAAATGAACAACACTTTGCATCGTAAAAATATTCAAGTATAAATTCTCATCATCAAGTAGTTCATAAAGAAAACTCTTTCTGGAGTCTCTGAGACTAAGTATTAATAGTCCTAAAATAAGTCTTTTTGGTTTTCTGTTATTGGAGTTTTATAAGAATTCGTAACGGTTTGTCAGGGTCAGGAGCTGTATCTCTCAAGGGTTTAATCGATCTAAAATATTAATAACATCACACTGTACAAAAACATGCCATCCATTTCTTTGTTTGAAAGACTTCAGGGTGTTTATTCATAGTTTGTTTAACATAAAATATGAGTGTTTATTCACTGATGCTATCACTGCTTTAGTTTGTGTCACACAGAAGAGTTGCCACTTTGGAAAGCTTTTTTTTAAGAAAACATATAAGGAAAAAAAATCCAGATTTTGTGATTACTGGGTTGTATTAAAATAACTACAGCAGCGGAGTCTGTAAAACCCTAAAAAAGGACACAGCAAAGATGATGCTAACAAGACACTGGGGCTTTGGTGACTGTATTATTTGTACTTCATGAAATTAACACAAAAAAGGAAAATCAATCAACACAAGTATCTGCCACAGCTGGAGAAACAAAGATGTTTTCTCACCCATAAACCTGAATCAGCCTCCAGAGATGAATAGGATTGTCTGTGGGTAAGACTGTAGTATCTGCTAAAGAATTTACAGTGTGAGGAGAATATAAAGCTCCTTTAGATGTAATTACCCCCCTAAAGAATTCCCCTTTTTAAAAGTGAGCCAACACTGACGTCAGAAGGAGATCACAGGGTACGACTCTGGATCTCTGGTTTCATGCTCTGGGAAAAAAATTATCCACAGAAATAATGACAGGACTGTTTGGGGCTAGAGAAGCAGCATTAAAAAAAAAAAAAAAAGATAAACTGCCTGACATTTTGCTTTGAGGCAACAAATCTAAGAAAGAATATTTCCAATGAAATGCTTATCAAACGGAGTAAACGCACATGTAGGAAGACTGACGCATAAATCTCAAGAGTGACTTTTGCTGTTAAATTACTATTTTGTCTGTAGTGTCAGCGTTTAGACCACATAAGCTGGAGCAGGAGGACTGATCATCTCTTTTTAAAATCAGTGTGACAGTCTATACATGTAAACCGACTTTTAAACCACACACTAAATGACAAACCTGAAATCAACAGACCAGTCTCTCCTCAAAAAGCACTAACATTATAGCTCACAGTTCGTCCCCTGAAAGACACTGCTGCACATCTTACCTTCAGTTTGGAGAAATGTGGCTGTCCAAGTTCATGCAGCACAAGTTGTTTCACTTCAGCACTGAAGGAGCTCTGTGTGCATGTGTGTGTGTGTATATATGTGTGTGTGTGTGTGTGTTGTGAGAAGGCACTTGTGCATGTGTGTTTTCTCCTTGGAAGGTGTTTCCCCATTCTCGTGACTCTACATCACTCTGACAGAGGACAGCAGATTGTTTGAGGAGGAGGACGAGGAGGAGGAGGAGAAGGGGAAGATAAAGGGGCAAGGCGTGAGAGTGGATGAGGAGTCTATTACAGTGCTACGAGTGTGATTAAGTGCCGTCAGCGCAGAGGTCCCGGAGTTTCCTGAGCTGGATCTGGGTGGGGGCGGGGAGGTTCGGCTCTCTGATTCCTTCATCTCGCCATTCTCTCTCTTTTTAAGGAGCAAAGAGACACTTGTTTCTTCACAGTCAGTTACTGCAGACACAGTTTTTCATTCACTAAGGGCAGAATTGCATCATTAAACAACACAGGCTCTAAAGTTGGAAAAGAATAACTCTTCAGTTCAAGTGTTTAATTCAAGTCTGCTTCTTGTAAGCTTTCAGCACCTTGTCAACAACACATTTGTGACCGAAAGGCAAAGGGAGAGGACTTTGGTAATTGCGGAAATACTTATGTGATTTAACCAAGATATTCCACTTAAAAAACACTTTGAGGCTCTCTTCATTGGACCGGGGCACTCATTTAGACTTAATTGTAGGCAAGCAGTAAAAACAAAAATATTCTCTCACACAGCTAACTAAACAGACCTTGAAATACAAAGCACACAGCCCAACATAGTGCTCAGAGAGACAGCGGTTTAATAAAAGCAAACCTTTTATTCTAATCACAAACACAACACAGATACATTCACATAAAAGTGTCCAAAACAAGGCAACAAATACAATTTAAGTTTCCCCACTCATGGTCACACCTCGGTGCCAAAAGACTACAGATCCCAGAGTTATGAAGGCGGCTGAGAGTGAGGTGAGGTGTTTGCGTGTGTGTGTCACAACTTTACAAGCAAAAAGTACTCTACCATTAAATAAAATGTAAACATAAAAACAAAAATCGCTCCATTTTAAACAAATGTGATGTGACGCAAACTAAAAATCACTGGAGGAAAGCACAGCCAGGATTAAAGGAGAGATTCACTGTTTTTAATATAGTTTACTTTAAAATTATACTCATATCTTGTTATCTATATAACCAAATAAATGGCCACTTCCTCCTGTCCTTAACAGCAAAGCATTTCATAAATGGCTAAGCTGAAATTAAAATTTGGAAGCTGGACTTGTAAATGAAATTCCCTCCTTTTGTTTTTTTTTGATTTAAGCTCACCTTTCTCTGGACATTTTCTAACCTATAAACATGAACTTTGGATGTTCACGTGGTGGGTCACACCAGGATGTAAAAATTCATGTTTTCATTCTAGTGGATTGCAGCAGATACTGTACTTGCAACATAATAATTCTGCATTTTCTTTCTTTTTGGTCCATTTTTGGCCCAAACATTCTGACCCACAAATTTTATAACGGAGGGCACAATCATCATTTATTATCAAAGTTGCATTGTTCACTTTTATCTAACTTCCTTAAAAGTTGATACAAAGAGAGAGTCAAAGGTGCGAATATATCTTCAGAAAAAAAAGTGTTGGTCTAAGGTAAAAGAATAAACCTAAATATCTGATTATAATGCTATCCAGGGAAACTTTGGATCCTGTCAGCCACGTGAGTGTTACTTTGACACATTAACACCCACCTTAACATGGTTGCCCATCCCTATTACATTGAGAAAACTTCTCTAACAGCTCGAGGAGCATGGCAAAGTTTCCAAATTTCCCACATCTAAATCCAATTAAGAAGCCGCAGGACATGCAAGAAAAATCCAGATCCATGGAAGCCCCACTCAAATAATCTGCTGTCAACATCCTGGTGCCAAACACCATGGACACCCCAGAGGTCCAGCGTCTGTGCTGAGAGCTTTGTTGGAGGCAAGAAGGGAACCTTATTGTGGCTGAACTGTTTACAGTGACATAGCCAAGTAAGATATACTAATATGCTAGTTAGCATGGGTGTTGGTGTCATTTTGTCTGTTAAGCCAAATGTCAAGGGGGTAAACAGAAGAGCCGAGAGAAAACAGAAACTCTCCAGGAACTGTTCTGACTGACTGGCATCCACACAGCCAGCTGGCACGCAAGTAGCTATCGCAACACAAAGAAAATTTTATGAATTAGTTCTGGAAATATGGCTGCAAGTGTCTAGAGTAAATATTCCACAGAGGCAGAGTCTGTTCAAGGGTCATACCAACCTTTGGTACCAACCTTACCAAACTTAACTACAACATGCAACTCCTTCAATGTACATGAGGACCTGTGAGTATAACTTTAAGTAGAATTAAGAACCTATCCTTTACCAGATCAAATCCTGTAAACACAATGGTGAAAATCTGCTGTTTTCGGGTACATAACAAACTTGACATTTCTCCCAACTCAACTACAAAACGATTTACATGTTATCTACAAATGTGCAAGAGGAAAAAGCAAATAAATTAAAAGCTATTCATTATAACACACCAGCTTAGTTCATCTAATTCTAACAAAGAAAAGCTTCACATGTTTAGTTTATGGGAATATTGTTTTGTGTAACTACTGAGAGTGCTTTAGTGTAAGACACAGAAGCAGAGCGGGAGAGGGAGGAGAGTGGGAATGCAGTGTGTATCACCATACATGGAGCGGAAACCAATCCAGGTTACACTGAGTCATAGACAAGCTTATCCCAGTCTCTCTCCATCCCCCCCACACAGAGACAAACAGAAACACCAAGATAGGGACACAAAGGTGCAAATTCACAGCTAATAATTCATACACTCACAATATGTTTTCACACATCTTTTTCCTAACACCACCTCTACAAAAACACATTCAAGTGTCCAAAAATAAGCCACCTGAAATGGTTTAAAGATTCAAACATATTTGCCACAACAGGCCTTCCTTGGCTTGACCCTTTTGAAAAACAAACTTATGTTGACAAGTGCTTGTTTAGAAAAACACCAACTAGGCACCGTTTCATGCAAAGTAAGAGCGGGCTAGGCCCATAACTTAATTCTGAGTTACGAAAAGCTAAACAATCCCTTTGGATAAGTGGTTCAAGAAACATCAACAAGCATCACTAAACCACCACCTCAGTACCTAAATATACAGGTGGGTGTAAAGTGACACCATTGTGATGGACAGCAAAGTCTCCATGTGGTAATTTGTGGATAAACTAGAGGCCATTAAAACATTTTTGAATCCACAGTGGAGGTGTTTATTCTGTCAGTGCAGGTCTAGTTATCTGCACACACACGTAAAGAAGTCCACAGCTGATTGCAGCTTTTTAAACTGCTCCTGTGTTTGTTTCAAGGTTTTAATTGCTTTGAGTCTGTTGTGCAGCGGCTGTTGTCCATTATTCAGGTTCATGGTAAAGCCAGGGTGAGTCAGGTGTTTCCAAAAGGTCTGCAAAAAAACCTGTATGCAAAAACAAGAACATTCAAGGCAGTATTTTAGTCCTGGATCAAATCCACATCCCTTTCCACCGATTCAACCGAGTTATATGGAATCATGCTATATAAGTAATCACATTACCACTAACAATCAGCT